TTGTATTTTTTTAGTAGAGACGGGGTTTCACCGTGTTAGCCAGGATGGTCTCTATCTCCTGACTTCATGATCTGCCCGCCTTGGCCTCCCAAAGTGCTGGGATTACAGGTGTGAGCCACCACGGCCGGCCTATTATTATTGTTTTTTATAGAGATGGAGTCTCAGTGTCTTGCCCAGGTAGATCATGAATTCCTGGCCTCAAGCGATCCTCCTGCCTTGGCCTCCCAACATGCTGGGATTATAGATGTGAGCCACTGTGCCTAGCCCCTTTCCTGTTTATTTTGTACTTCCACTTTTCTATTGCTAATACTATAAACGTATATTTGGTTACACCTGCCTTCACCTCTGCCCCACTGTCTGGTGAATGAAGTGACTTTTATCCTGCCTGGGAATAGACCTACCCCCTAATCCTGATCACATGATGACTTCTTTTTCCTATTTATTTATTTTTGAGACGGCGTTTCGCTCAAAATGCCCAGGCTGAAGTGCGGTGGCTCACTGCAACTTCACCTCCCGGGTTCAAGTGATTCTCCTGTCTCAGCTTCCTGAGCAGCTTGGATTACAGGTGCATGCCACCACGCCCGGGTAATTTTGTATTTTTAGTGGAGATGGGGTTTCACCATGCTGGCCAGGCTGGTCTCGAACTCCTGACCTCAGGTGATCCGCCCACCTCGGCCTCCCAAAGTGCTGGGATTACAGGCATGAGCCACCGCGCCCAGCCGGATCACTTCTTTTTCTACTCCAGCCTTTACTCCTACTCCCATCATTTATTGCCAGCTTCACTTCCTCTATAATCTCTTAATCTTTTGGGGACTCCTCAGCAGTTTGTGAATATGTCTACATTTATCCTGGTGACACTGGATCTTCTTTAGCAACTACCTTCTCTCTTCCTTTCACTTTACAGTCAAGTTTCTTGAAATAATAATTTATCCTTGGAATTGTGTGAATTCTTACTTCTCATTCACTTTCCAACCTATGATTATCAGCTTCTTTCTTCCTAAACTGCTTAGGCAGAGAACACACATGGACACTTTCCTAAACCTTAGTCCATTGGGCATTTTGCATTCTTCCTTGTATTCTGTTCTCTGAGACATTTGACAGCGTTGATAATTTCCTCTTGAAACTAAAAACACTCTCCAGTTCCACCTTCTCTGAGCATTCTTTTTTCCTCTGTGCTGCTGTGGGCTTTCCCCTGCTGCCTTGTAGATGTGATTTTCCCGTGCTTTCTTCTCTTCTGACCCAGACCATCTAATCAGTCTCCGGCCCCACTCTGGCTTTACGTACTTCGGGTGGGCCACGGGTTCCCAAACCTTTATCTTCAGCCCAAATATGTATTGTATTTAGCCCTGGCTAGATACAAAAATTAGCCAGGCATGGTAGCAGGCGCCTGTAATCCCAGCTACTCGGGAGGCTGAGGCAGGAGAATCACTTGAACCTGGGAGGCAGAGGTTACAGTGAGCTGAGATCCCGCCTCTGCACTCCAGCCTGGGCGACAGAATGAGACTGCATCCCAAAAAAAAAGTTAGTGAATTGTCTACAACCTTGTCCTCTTTTCAGGGGACAAGCCTGGAAAGCCAGATGGTAATTGTTGTGAAATCTGTAGGTTTATTAGGTTTATTTTGTACCTTTGCCTTCCCAGAAAAATTGTAGTTAAAAGCATTGTTATAATGCAGATAACAACAACTAATGTTTATATAGTGCTTTATAGCATACAGACTGTCCAGATGAGAAAAATGAAGTACAGAAAGTCTATTACTTGTTAGAGGTAGATAACACAGCCTTTAAGTAGTAGAGCAGGACTTAGGACTGAGGCCTTCTTATTCCAGATTCTATATTCTTTTTGTTATTACATACTGTCTCAGATTTGTCTATCAACATGTGATTTAAATAATTACAAAATTTGGCGGGGCATGGTGACTCACACCTGTAATGCCAGCACTTTGGGAGGCCGAGGCAGGTGGATCACTTGAGGTCAGGAGCTTGAGACCAGCCTGGGCAATATGACAAAACCCAGTCTCTACTAAAAATACAAAAATTGGCCAGGTGCGGTGGCTCACAACTGTAATTCCAGCACTTTAGGAGGCCAAGTTGGGTGGATCATGAGGTCAGGAGATCGAGACCATCCTGGCTAACACGGTGAAACCCCATCTCTACTAAAAATACAAAAAATTAGCCAGGCATGGTGGCGGGCGCCTGTAGTCCCAGCTACTTGGGAGGCTGAGGCAGGAGAATGGTGTGAACCCGGGAGGTGGAGCTTGCAGTGAGCCGAGATTGCACCACTGCACTCAAGGCTGGGAGACAGAGCAAGACTCCATCTCAAAAAAAAAAAAAAAAAAAAGTTAGCTGGGCATGATGACACACGCCTGTAATCCCAGCTATTCAGGAAGCTGAGGCAGGAGAATCACTTGAACCTGGGAGGCGGCAGTTGCAGTGAGCTGAGATCATACCACTCCACTCCAACCTGGGTGACCGAGTGAGACTCCTGTCTCAAAAAAAAAAAAAAAAAAAAAAAATTACAAAATATCTATTTCAGAGGGCTATTCCTCCTCTGTTATCTCCATTCTCTTGCCAACAAAGAGCTCATTTACTTTGTCATACACACACTCTGTGAAGAACTCTTTACTTCATTATTCCATGTGAACTGTTAATTGGAAGTAAAGGCCAGATTACTTGCAATTCTTCTTCTGGGAACTTAAGTTCCTGGGAACTAAGTTCCTCTTCTGGGAACTTAGAACCCTCAAACAGGTTATATCGAGTCAAGAGAGGAATGTTCTTGATGTGCTGAAGACTGAACAAATGTGTGATTAGTTAAGACTTAGATATTGGATATGATTCATTCATTTGCTGGTTCTTGTTGAGCTACCTGTCTAACTGGGCACTGTTAAAGACTATCACAATCCCTGTTGTGGTCGGGGTCAGAGGCAAGTTGGGGAGACAGGTGTTAACCAGGGACCCCTGCAGGGGAGAGAATTATATCACAGGTGCAGTGGAGGCAGTGTTGGAAAGCTAAAAAGGACCTAGAGAAGTGAAGAGGTGTAAGGTTATGAGCTATTTGACCTAGGAAGTTACTTCCCCTTGCTGGTTCTCATTCTTTTTTCCTCTATAAAATGACCCAGGTTGAATCAGTTGGCTGCTTAGTTCCTTCCAGTTTATGAAAGTGCCTTTGTTAAAACAATGAGTCAGGAGGCAGCAGAGCATTCTGTTGTGTGAACTGATTATCGAATAATAACACTAAATGTTTCGTTTATTATCTCTGTAAGCAAAGAGTTCAGGCTCAGTGTGTCTACATTGGCTGCTTTAGTCGACTGAGAAAAACACTCATATCTCACATCAATTCTTGGCATTTGAGTGGGCCCTCTTACAATTGTTGGGTTATTCTGACATTTGAGGGATTCAATCCGGATCCTCTTTGTTTTCTGATCGTAGAAATCATCACCCCTTTGTCCCCAGTACCTGCATTTGATATGTGAAATGGGAGTAATAAACCAACACTTCTTTTTTTTTTTTTGAGACAGGGTCTCACTTTGTCACCCAGGCTGGAGTGTAGTGGTGCAGTGGCACAATCTCAGCTCACTGCCACCTCAGCCTCTCAGGCTTAAGTGATCCTCATATCTCAGCCTCCTGAGTTGCAGGATTACAGGTGTGTGCCACTACACCTGGCTAATTTTTGTATTTTTTTGTAGAGATGGGATTTTGCCATGTTGGCCAGACTGGTCTTAAACTCCTGAGATCGAGTGATCCTCCCACCTTGGCTTCCCAAAGTGCTGGGATTATAGGCGTAAGCCACCATACCTGGCCAACACTTCTTTTTTTTTTTTTTTTGAGATGGAGTTTCACTCTTGTCACCCAGGCTGGAGTGCAGTGGCGTAATCTCCCGTCACTGCAACCTCCGCCTCCTGGGTTCAAGCCATTCTCCTCCCTCAGCCTTCTGAGTAACTGGGATTTCAGACATGTGCCACCACACCTGGCTAATTTTGTATTTTTAGTAGAGATGGAGTTTCTCCATGTTGATCAGGCTGGTCTCAAACTCCTGACCTCAGGTTATCCGCTCGCCTCAGTCTCCCAAAGTGCTGGGATTAACAGGCGTGAGCCACCACACCTGGCTCTGAACACTTCTTAATAAACCTACAGAGGCTCTGATTCAGGAAGGAAGCAAATATTTGTTGAGCTTCTGCTACGTGGACAATAGTGCTAGGGAACAGTACGGTACATAATGAAAGAATATTCCCTGCCCTTGGAGGAATTTATGGCTTAGTAATAGAAAATAAAGAGCAAGATATACCTGGGCAAGAAAGTATAATAGGTGCTGTGATAGAAGTTTATCTAGGATTGGGGGTACAAATGTAAGAGTAGTTTTACTGGCTGGCAGGAGGGGAAATCAATGAATGGACAACATAGTATGGGGAAAAGGATGTTAGGTTTGGAGTCAGAAAACCTAGGTTTGTAGAATCTCAACTCTGTATATTAACTCTCTATATATTAGCTATATATTTGATTTCTTTGAGTCTGGGTTGCATTGTTTATATAAAGCAATTAACAATAGTCTTACCCAGCCCAGTGCCATGGCTCACGCCTTAATCCTAGCACTTTGGGAAGCCAAAGTGGGCCCATCACAACATCAGGAGTTTGAGACCAGCCTGGCCAATGTGGTGAAACCCTGTCTCTATTAAAAATACAAAAAATTTAGCCAGGCATGGTGGCGGGCACCTGTAATCCAAGCTATTCGGGAGGCTGAGGCTGGAGAATTGCTTGAACCCAGGAGGCAGAGGTTGCGGTGAGCCAAGATCACACCACTGCACTCCAGCCTGGGCAACAAGAGCGAAACTCCGTCTCGGGAGAAGAAAAAAAAAAGAAATCTGTGATCCTTGAAAACACATCCACCCCTCTACCTTGGTGGCATGTGTGGATTGAGTATCACTGCTCACCTGTGCTCTCGGACATCAAAAGGACAGTAGAGGTGTATCTTAACTGACCTTTTCCCCTTTCCTCCCTTGCACCAGATTTTATCATGTGGGCAACCTGCTGCAACTGGTTCTGCCTGGATGGACAGCCTGAAGAGGTCCCACCACCCCAGGGAGCCAGGATGCAGGCCTATTCCAACCCTGGGTACAGCTCCTTCCCTTCCCCAACAGGCCTGGAACCAAGCTGCAAGTCCTGTGGGGCTCACTTTGCAAGCACAGCCAGGAAGGTGAGTGCTGACTTCTTGGCCTGCTCTGCCACTGCAGCCTATGGACCATGGGCAAGCACTGCTGACCCCTCTGAGTGCCTGCAACCTTGCCTTTCCCTGTGTAATGCTAGTGACCCAGACCTGTCCCTTTCACAAAAATGTTTAAGAAGAACTAACCAAGTAAAAGCAAAAGCAAAGCATGTCGGCATAGATTTGGAGTCAGTAGACCTGAATTCAGTTATCAGCTTTGCTGCTTACTAGCTATATGATTTAACCTCTCTTGAGATTCAGTTTCCCTGTTATAAAATGGGATGATTGTTGTCCTCATCTTTCAGTGTTGTGGGAATAAAGTGAGACAAGAAAGCCATGAAGGGTGCCTAGCACGATGCTTAGAATGTCGTAGGCACTTGATGTTATTTACTTCATTAGCCACCATCACAAAAGACCTGATTGCAGATTAACTTGTTCTTTTTATCAAAAACAATGTTAAGGATGCCTCAGATACATTAGGACCATAACAAAGACTGGAACTTATTTACTGTAGCAGATTTCATTTGAAATGCTTGGGAGCCATGCTTCCCAAATGAGTGAGCTGGAAGTAAAATTACTGGCTGGATTATGGTGTCTAGGTGTGCACCCTCCCTCTTCCAGAGACAGTGAGTTATCTGTGATCAAGCAGGACGAGGGCAGAAGGTAAACCCTCACCTGGATAAAGAACTCCTGCATTCTGCATTTTTCTGCAGAATGGGAAGTTTGCAGCCCAGAATAAGTGATAGGATATGATGTTAAAATGGTGATCATGCGAAATTTGAGAGGAAATCATACTTTTAAACCATCTGCTATGTGCAAAGGACTGTTTAAGGAATTTAAATTTTTTAAATTTCATTTAATCCGCACAATAGCTATGATATACATTTTAGAATCTCCCAAATTCCATTTTACATATGAGAAACTAGGGCTCAGGGTTTAAAATTTAAGAAGAACATTGAATGTGTTAAATTCCTGACAAATAGCATGAGAGATATTAAAATACTCATTCTTTTCCCTTGACTTCAGTAGCGCTCAAGATCACATAGTTATTAAATGACAGAGCCGGGATTCAAACCCAGGTCCTTGATTCCAAAGCCCCCTCCCAGAAGACGTTCGGCATGTCGAGTAGAAGATGACAGTTATAGGCCTGGGTGCCTAGAGAAGCAAGGCAATGATTAAAATAAGGTGCTTTTTTTCTTACTTACTGGAAAATGAATTACTGAATATCTACTGTGTATCAGGAATTGCCTGGGCTAGGGAGGCAGAGATGAAGAAGGTCATTCCTGCGACAGGGAGCTTGCAGTTGCACAGGGAGGTGAGGACAGTGCACACCATACAATGTGACAAAAGAAAAGTGTGTGTAACAAGAAGAGCTTCTGTGAGGGGAAGAAAAATTCCAATTTGGATGGTAAAAGATGATTATTGGTACAATATTTTCTTGCTACAAAAGTATGAATTAATTTTGTGCAATTTACAGTGAATTTTGTGAATATTAAGGGTGTTTTCATCTATGAGAATTTTTCATTTGTAATTTCATGCTTAAGTGGATCAGCATTCTTATCTTAAGGGTTTGGCATTTAACAGCCAGGGGCTTTCAAAATGTCTTTTTCTAGAAGTGCTTGAATTGAAATGATTACATGGATCCTACTGTCTTTTTCTTTTCCTTTTTCTTCATTATGGTCAGTATTTTCTGATTGCTTTCTGGATGCAAAGCACAGATAACATTCAGGACTTTATAGAGAGAACATAAGGAAGATGTGGTCCTTGCATTCCCTGAGTTTTCAGTCCTAAAGAGAAATGGCAGACTGTAATTTTGCCACAAGCCAAATACCCCACCTCTATTGGTAATACCTCTCTGTGGTTTAGCTGTGACCGACAGTTTTGGAGGGAGTCTGGCACCCAGCCTCTTTAGTTGGACCAGTTGGAGGAGGAGGTTACGCTTGGAGCCATGGAAGTGATATTCAGATCTCAGAGTGTTAAGAGAGGACTGGGTCTTAGGTGCCGGTAAGGGGAAAAGAAATTAAAGGTGACTGTTTTACCTTTTCTGGAGCATCTACCTTGTGCTAAGGTTTTATATACATTCTCTCATGTAATATTTCCCATATTCCAGGGAATAGGGGTGGGAGGGAGTAGGAGCAAGGGAAGGGCAGTTGGCAAACGGGAGCCAGCAGAGCCCTGCACACAGCATCCTTGAAGGATGGTGCCCACCTGAGGTGCCATGGCCAGTTCTGCGATGCTGGATATCTCAGTGCACTCTGGGCATTTCTGCAGGCACATTGGTTGCCTCCACTAATTCATCTTTCATGCTACCTGGTTACTCAGTTGTTTTGAACCATTTGGTAGAATTTATACATAAGCGTGTCCTTTGCTCATTCTGCCTGCATTTGTTGACAGCCCTTTTTTCCTTTCCTCTTGTTCTCTCCTTCCACTGCAAACTGGGGTTTTAGCCTCAAGCCCTATCCTGTTCCTGTAGGGTGTGTTTCAGATGCCAGCTTATTTCAAAGTCCCCTGTGAGCCAGTGGGTGTATAGAAGCTAGGTTGCTGTCTGCATTCTGATCTTGCATCCAACAAGCCACACACATTTGAAGAAAGAATAGAGAGTTGTTTGGATCTGACTGATTGAGCAATGCAGGCTTTATAATTGTGTCAAGCTAGGTCTTGTCAAACTGCATTGACTTAAGTAATATTCCATGTCAGGCCCACAGGTTTATGACATTGAAGCCTGTTTGTTTCAGTCTCAGTCATCCTAAGCACACTTCATTTCCCAATAGAAAAGCTTTAGATGTGAATGAACCCCAAATACCTGAAAACATCCATTTTCTGCCTGCCTGGCTACCGGTGCCAACACCGTTACACTGCTAGTGCAGCCGTGCATCCTTTTAAGTCTGTCTCTGAACAGCGTATTGTTTGGTTATAACTGTGTGGAGAATTAGGGAGCTTGATATATGTCCCTTTGCAATGCCTTCTAAGTCTTAATAGCCAAAACTGGGTGGTAAATATTATTTTCTTTTCCTTTTACTATATGAATGATACTTAGACAAAACATGTAACTATCTTAACTATGCAGACATTTACTTCAGTCCAGAGTGTCTGTGATCTTGACTATGAGAATCTTGTCTCTTAAGCATTCTTTTTTAGCTTGAACAGCTTTCTATATTTTGAAAAGATGGACCAGAAATATTTAAGTTACTACTTAAGTCAACACAGGATGAAAAGTTTTTAACTTCTTTAAAGGATTAGTGAGGGTGCCCTCGAGGCCAATCCCAGTGTGCTCAGGAATTACCTCTCTTTTTGTGGGTGTGACATGCTCTTGGCCAGAACAGAGCTCAGCCAGATGTCACTGTGCTTGCTCAGCCTGTGGGGTGAGAGGCTGAGGATTGCTTCCTGTGGGCTGAGTAAGCCTTCGTGTGTTGTCAGTGACTGCCAGAGTAGTTGCTGCCAGGCAGTACCAGCTTGCCCATCAGGCGCCCGTTGCCTAACTGAGACACTCTGTGCTTTCAGTAACGAGAGTACCCTGATGTCCAGACGGTCTCCCGTCGCTATCTAAATATTTGTCTTGAATATGGACGTAAGCACCACTGGGTTCCCAGCACTCTGAGTGGACCTTCCTGGAGTGGGGAGCCTGTGTCGATGGGGCAGTGGGTGGGGAATTTGGAGATGGGAAGCCAGGCCCTTGACTCAGAACTGTTCCGTGCTTGAATGGAACTAAGCTCTGCAGCATGGCCTGGTGGGAAGAATGTGATCATGAGCATTAGCCTCCGACAGACCTTGAGTGTGAATCCCAGCTCTCCTGTTTACTGCCTGACCTTGAATACAGTAGTTGATTTCCCTAAGCCTCAGTTGCTTTGTCTGTGGATCAGGGAAGAACACTAATACCTACTTTGCAGCATCGCTTTGAGAATTAAATGACAAGCTAGCATATAGAAGCACTTCAGTAAATTAATATTAATTGTAACAACCACCATAACCTTCATGCAGAAATAATTATAGTTTAGGATTTGAATCCTGGCTCTCACCGTTAGCTAATATTTCCTAGCTATAATAAAACAGCTAACACTTGTTGAGGACTCATTTTGTGTTAGATATGCTAAATGAATTCTCTCTTAATCTTCACAACCACCCCATGAGGTAGACACTGTTATCAACCCCATTTCACAGATGTGGAAACTGAGCACCAGAGAGGCTAAATTACACACCCAAGGTAACACTGCAAGAAATAAGGGAGGGAGGCTTAATAAAAATGCAGAACTTTTTGATTCTAAAGCTGGTAGTCTTGATTAATACCTCAAGTGCTTCGTGAATAAATAAAGTAAGCCTCAAATTAAATAATAAACGTGAAATGTCCTGTACATGGATATACACAATACACACTGGAGGTCTGCCACCCCTGAGTGGCTTTTAATCTAAAATCTGAAAGTGGCTTGCACCCTTAGTTATGTGAGAGAGCTTAGTAAAAGTAAGAATGACTGGAGGAGATCCTGCTGGGCTTGGCAGCTCTGAAGCTCCCATCTCACTCTCTGTCTTGTTCTCTCAATCTGACATGGTTTCCTGTGTCTCTTCCTCTAAGCAGCAGACCTGCTTGGACTGTAAGAAAAATTTCTGCATGACCTGTTCGAGCCAAGTGGGGAATGGGCCCCGCCTCTGCCTTCTCTGCCAACGGTTTCGAGCTACAGCCTTTCAGCGAGAGGAGCTCATGAAGATGAAGGTGAAGGACTTGAGGGACTATCTCAGCCTCCATGACATCTCTACCGAAATGTGCCGGGAGAAAGAAGAGCTGGTGCTCTTGGTCCTTGGCCAGCAGCCTATAATCTTCCAAGAGGGCAGGACTCATGCCTCCACCTTGTCCCCAGACTTTCCTGAGCAGCAGGCCTTCCTGACCCAACCTCACTCCAGCATGGTTCCACCTACCTCACCCAACCTCCCCTCTTCATCTGCACAAGCCACCTCTGTTCCCCCAGCCCAGGTTCAGGAGAATCAGCAGGTAAGGGCCCATTTGTAGTCTTTGCCAGTCCGTGCCAGTTTGAGGGCTCATTTTCATTTTCCTCTCCTGCCTGTGTTGTGAGAATGGGGTATAAGGCTAAGTGTCTTGATTATGTGAAGCCTTTCTGACTACTGGTGCACCAAGTGTTTTCTGGGTATCAGACTCATGTTTTGGCTTTCTTCAGAGATGATATGCACAGTACCAAACTTTTTTGTTTGCTTTTTGTTTTTAATACACACATATCCTAGTTAGACATTTTTTTAAAGTTCATCATTCCAGAAATATTTTGAGAAAAATAACCATTAAGCCATCAGATTTAGTTCTGGTCCAATTTGTCTTCCAACTTAATTCCTTTGTTCCGGTCTTCATTGGCTGGATTGGGAACTTAGTTCCTTAGTAACCATCACAAGGAATATAGGAAAGCAAAGGGCTATATGGAGGCAAGGAAGGGTGGGGAAACAGACAAAGACACTGCTGCTCTTACCAGTCACTGACTGGAAGCAGGAGTAGTTGGCATGCTGTATTTGTATGCTGCTTCTTCATTATCCTGGGGGGCTTGGAAGCTAAGAGCAGCACATCAACTGAATCATGACCCAGGCCTGGGGAGTACAGAAATGAGTAATATACTCTCTCAAAAAGCCCCCAGAATAGGGAAGGTGGACACGTAGACCAGCTAACTCCTGGATTAGAGTGAGGCCAGTGGACATAACTGTTGTATAAGAAGTGGTGATGTTGCAGAAGTGCCTTAGTGACTCTGTTATTTATAGCAGCAGTCCCTAACCTTTTTAGCACCAAGGACTGGTTTTGGAAGACCATTTTTCCACAGACTGGGGCGCGTTGGTTTGAGGATGAAACTGTTCCATCCAGATCATCAGGCATTAGTTAGATTTTCATAAGGAGCATGCATCCTAGATCCCTCGCATGCGCAGTTCACAACAGGGTTCACACTCCTAGGACAATCTAATGCCACCACTTATCTGACAGGAGGCGAAGCTCAAGCAGTAATGCTGGCTTGCCAGCCACTCACCTCCTGCTGTGCATCTGGGTTCCTAATAAGCCATGGACCAGTACCAGTCTGTGGCCCAGGGGTTGGGGACCCTTGATATAGGGCTTGGGCAATATGGGGGAATTAGGAACTACGAGATCTAATTTCCACATCCCCTTTTGTCACTGACTTCTTGGTCCCCTTGGGCAAACGTTGAGCCTACAACAATGACATGGGGTTAGTAATCACAGACCACTTTTGATCTTGCCAGGATCTTGAGAGACCTGAATGTGTGATACCATGTCTAAAAGAGCTCTGAGCTACTTACAGCTGGTATAGTGCTAGTGCTGTTAGTTCCTACACATGATGTGGATGGCTGCTGCTGCTTGTTTATGATCACTTCCTTTGCCAGGACTGGGCCCCCTGATTCAACTCTGGACAAGCACTGAGGCATAAAGGCCAATGTGATAGCATAATTTAACTGCAGTAAAATCATTTAACTCCCTTTTTGGCCTGAGCACGCTTTTCTCCACAGCTGGACTTTAACTCTTTCCTAAGCTCTGACTCTTGGTCTGCTAGACAGATTTTAACTCCTGCTATACATTCTTCCCTTTGCTTGTGTGTGTGTGTGTGTGTGTGTGTGTTTTGTGAGCACTCTGTGTATAAGGAGCTAGGAAAAGAACTTGAAGAATTCTTTTTCTGTAAAGAACCTTGGCTGGGCATGGTGGTTCATGCCTGTAATCCCAGTACTTTGGGAAACTGAGGCAGGCGGATCGTTTGAGCCTAGGAATTTGAGACTAGCCTGGCAACATGGCAAAACCCTGTCTCTACAAAAAAATACAAAAATTAGCTGGGCGTGGTGGTGGGCACATGTAGCTACTCAAGAGGCTCAGGTGGGAGGATCATTTAAGCCTGGGAGGTCGAGGCTGCAGTGAGCCGTGATCGTGCCACCACACTTCAGCTTGGGCAACAGAGTGAGATCCTGTCTCAGAAAACAAAAACAAAAAACCAACCAAACCTTCAGGTAGATTTTTCAATGAAAGATTATAAGCTTCCTGTCATTAACCAGAAATTTCCAGATTGCACCTAAAGGTGACCCTACATACAAGATCTAAGTGGGTACTTTTCCTCTGAGATTTTCAGGAGACCTTAATGTCTGCTTACATCCCCTGTTCTGGTGAGAGCTGCACTTTGCAAGCAGGAAAAACAGGCATGGAAGAATTAAGTAACTTACGCAGTGCTGTCTGACAAGTTCACAAGTGAGCTGCACCTAGAATGTAAATTTCCTTATAATACTTGCTCAACCAGAGTTCTTTCTTCTACCTTTAGTGCCCTAGCAATCAATAGTTGCTAGGCAAGGAAGGTATATAATAAGCACAACTGTGGACAGATACTAGTTTCGGATTTTTATTTAACCAGTGGGCAAACTGGAAAGACAAGAGCATGCTTTGCAGCATGAGGTCGTTTCTCTTTCTAGGAAACAGGACATCTGAAAGATATCTACTTAGGAACAGGTTAGGCTCTGAAGGATTCCAGGGTAATTCCAAGGTGACACTACCTGAGAGACCAGTGAGGACCTAGAGTAAGCTAAGAGAAAACATTGTTGATGAAGACATTGATTTGGATCCATCCCTATACATGTGTACTATGCATTTGATCTTGCCTTCACTTGGCATTTTGTTATTTCTACTTTTCATTTCCATTGCAGTTGGTTGCGTCCTCTTGATTAGCTCCATATTATGCATCCTAATGTGGGATGAGTGGCTGGGGTCAGTGGGTGACTTTGGTTTCCCAGATTGTCCCTTCACTGGCATCCCCAGAATCTGGTGGAAAAGGCCTGTGAGCTCAGACACCTCTTTGCTCTGAGCTCACAGCAGGCCCTTTGCATGCAGGGAGTAGTGGGTGAAGAGGGTCTACCTGAGGGGTTTGTAGCTTAAATGGTGATGGAATTAGGAGGCTCACAGTTCTGCCTACTCTTTGGCCAAACCTCCTAAAGGAGTACTCAGGAGGAACCTTTTGAGAAGTGAAAATTCTAAGCATAATGAAATTCCATAAGCATAGGCAGTGTTTTATAGTATTAGGCTAATAGATTCTTAGATACATTAAAATATTCTTTGACTAGGTCTAGACATAGCACTTAATAATAGTGTGCTCAACATGGGAACACATTTCCAGAATGTGAGAGTGGTTACTAGGCAGAAAAGAGACTAGGGTGGTGATGGTCTGGAAACTTTGTCCCATCACTGTCAGATAAGGAAGCCAGGGAGATTTAGTGTGAAGGAGGGGAAAACATGGTATAAACAGTTTGGGGAAAAAACAAAACAAAACCAAACCCAGCAGACTATGGTTTGAGGAGCAGAACCAGGGATAGGGATGGCAATTTTGGATCAGTGTCAAGAAAAACCTTGATGCCAGATAGAGAGCAGTCCAGCAGCGGAAGGGACACAGTGACCTTCCCTTCACCTGTGTTGCTCAAGCTGAGATTAAATTGATGGTGAGTGGTGGCTACTGCCATCCTGGTGTGTGCAGAATTAATGCAATTTTGTTCTAGAGGGCAGCTTTGTCTATTGAAATGTATTTGTGTTGTTTCTCTGCTTGACAAAGTTGGTATGAGAGAGCAGGCTTTTGTAATGATGCTGTAAGAGGCTCCGGATTTCTGGGCGTGATGGGAAGACATTGTGGACATTGTGTGAGTTGAAAAGAGGCCCATGCTATGCAGATCTCTGGGACATCTCTAGATGTGATGTTACTTTTCTCTTCCCACAGGCTAATGGCCATGTGTCTCAGGATCAAGAGGAACCCGTCTACCTGGAGAGCGTGGCCAGAGCACCTGCTGAGGATGAGACCCAGGTGGGGCCTCTGCTCGGGTCTGTGTCTTCACCTTTGCTCTTTCACTGGTGTTCTTAGAAACCTCTTCGGGTGGAGAGAGAATAAATGTGTGATGATAGTGCTTCCGAAATTATATTTTTGGGATAGGGTTTAGTGTTAGTGTTCCAGGTTAACTTGTGAAGCTGTCAGTGTGTTTATAAGGAGTTGTGAGGTCATAGTGGAGACTGAGAAGCCTCATGGCCCATTATATTTCCAGTCTCTTGACTTTCCAAGAGCTGCCAGAGGGCAGGCTTGTGCTGCTGCTGTGAAAATCTTGTTCTTTTCTCCTGCTTCTAGCACACTGTAGCCATTGTCAAGGGAAGGAGGTCAGACAATTAACCAGGCAGGGCCAGTCCAGAGCACAGACCAGGGAGCTGTGGCCAAGATTGTGTACAGAGGAGTACTTGCCAGGGAAATGTGCCTCTTGTGGGCAAGTAGAAGTCTCCAGGGGAGAAGGGCCAGCACCATGCTGGGTTTCATGTGCAGCCATATTTAACCTCTACAGGACCCCTGTGGGGTATGACTGCTCTCTCCCCTTTATGGAGGGGCAAACAGGCTCAGAGTGGTAAGCAACTTGCTGGATATTATTTAGCATTAGCCAGCAGAGCAGTCAAAATTCAAAATTAGGGTCATATGACTCAAACCAGCGCTCCTTCTACCATACTTCTATCTAGTACTGTGTCACACTGATTGGTTGGTCTGTGTCTGTTTGCTCCTGAGCACAAAATCATGGGTCAGGAAGAGATTCTAGTAAATTTTGCAATGCAGAGCCCCATGCCAGGTACTCATCCTGTCTCTGTTCCTACCTTTCATGAGGTCAGTCACCAAAATTATGATGTGAGTGCTTTGGGGTCCTTGGAGAAACAGCTTGAGGAGGTAAGAGCTGAGCACACTAATCTCTTCTTTGCCATTGCAGTCTATTGACTCAGAGGACAGCTTCGTCCCAGGCCGAAGGGCCTCTCTGTCTGACCTGACTGACCTGGAGGACATTGAAGGCCTGACAGTGCGGCAGCTGAAAGAGATCTTGGCTCGCAACTTTGTCAACTACAAGGGCTGCTGTGAGAAGTGGGAGCTGATGGAGAGAGTGACTCGGCTATACAAGGATCAGAAAGGACTCCAGCACCTGGGTGAGGGGCTATCTGCATGGTAGCTATTACAGAGCTCAGAAGTGTTTGCTGTCACTCCAAAGCCTGATGGCACTGACTTGACTCAATTTCCACACTTTTAGCCATGGAAGGAGACACCTTACATATCTGCACATCTAATAAGAGCTGTCATTTGTGGTTGAGTGTCAAAACTAGATTAGGCATTGCATATATTTATTCCTTAGAACAACCTACGAAATAGACATTAGCATCACCCTTTTACCATAGAGCCCAGTTTTAACTGAGAATTTTCTGGTCTAAGTCCATAGCCTTTCTCACCATATGCTATCCCCTCCCTACTCACCACCACCTTGTAAGTTTTCTTACCTTAGCATAAGAATGCTTGTTCTGAAGATTTGGGAGGTAGAAAATGAATCTACATACATAGTAGGAGAAGGTATATGTTCTGTCCGCACTTGGGCTTTTCCTTTTGTTCATTTCCCAGGGCATTTTACACTGTATCATTCAGCAGATGCCCAGGAAAATATCTGGGTCTGTGGTTAAATGAGTTCAGGGAAAAATACCTCATACTGTATCTTCATTACTGATTTATGGTAGATTTTTATATTAAAGGCAGCGAAGTCCTGCAGAAGAGAAATGTGTTTTGGCTGTTTTGAACTTAGCATTTCCTGAAATTATTTCACCACAGAATCTTCTCCTTTCCTCCCATCCCCAATTGATTCAGTTCCTACAGAGCAACATACTGATTCCTTGCTTGGTAAGAGTGGTCGAAGTCAGATTTCAGGCTGTCTTCTACCAGTAGCTCAAATTTATCAGTGTTAGGGGACATCTGACTGACTCTTCACCTGATTACAGACTGAGGACTACTGTCTGTTTTCCCTTTGGGATTGTTTCAAGAGTCTTCTCTTGAGTTGTCAGGACCTGGGGAACAGAACAGATGACTCCACGTGGGAATTTTATCCAGATTCCCTGACTGACTGAAACAGCTAGATAGTTCATTCTTTCTTGACTTTATTGCTGGCTTCAAAATAGAAAAGCATATTGCGCATATAGAGTATCCTTCTACTTGGCAGTTTGTGCAAACTGGTGGAATACATTTTTCTAAGAGTAGACCAGGGTGCAATGGCTCATGCCTGTAATCCCAGCACTCTGGGAAGCTGAGGCAGGTGGATCACTTGAGATCAGGAGTTCAAGACCAGCCTAGGTAACATGGTGAAACCCTGTCTCCACCAAAAACAAAAAATTAGCTGGGAGTGGTGGCATGTGCCTGTAGTCCCCAGGTACTTGGGAGGCCGAGGCAGGAGAATCACTTGAACCCAGGAGAAAGAGGTTGCAGTGAGCCAAGATCATGCCACTGCACTCCAGCCTAGGCAACAGAGTGAGGCTCCATCTCAAAAAAAAAAAAAAAAAAAAAAAAGATCAGGTGCACGAGTAGGAGCTTTGTGTGAGTTCTGAGCATGTATAGTGAGTAAAGAGGGCAGATGTCCATCTAGGCTCTTGGCAAGCCTGGTTCCCAGCAGGGAGTGGTAAGAGTTCAGCAACGATGTCAGGGCAGTAAGAGACTTTGTTTGTACCATCATGCCATCACCTATTCAGACATCCTTCTCTTTCCTTTTCAGTCAGTGGTGCTGAAGACCAAAACGGTATGTAGTTGTTTCTGTTTGGGAATGGGTTTAGGCTCTTTTGTCCTCTTCAACCCCAATCCCTTTAGTAGTCTAAGAATTCTGAGCATTTCAGCCTCCGGAGAGAGGGTGTGTGGGAAACTCACAGAGACCCAGGGGGCCTCTCACCATCTTTAGAAATTCTCTGTGAGGCCAGCCGTGGTGGCTCACGCCTGTAATCTCAGCACTTTGGGAGGCTGAGGTGGGTGGATCACAAGGTCAGGAGTTTGAGACCATCCTGGCTAACACGGTGAAACCCCGTTTCTACTGAAAATACAAAAAAATTAGCCAGGCGTGGTGGTGGGCGCCTGTAGTCCCAGCTACTCTGGAGGCTGAGACAGGAGAATGGCGTGAACCCGGGAGGCAGAGCTTGCAGTGAACTGAGATCGCGCCATTGCACTCCAGCCTGGGCGACAGAGTGAGATTCCGTTTCAAAAAAAAAAAAAAAAAAAAAAGAAAGAAATTCTCTGTGCTCCCTGTGTAGGAAGCAGCATGGAGCATATCAGGGGTAGCCTGACTGATGTGTATGTCCCCACTAAAACAGAGAAGGGGTGGCATGTATCACACTCAGCTCATTTTTTAAAAATCCTGGTGTGTTCAGTTCTGGTCTGGGTAGGGAGGGTCTCTGTATGCACCTTCTGGGGAATCAGGGTGTTTAGCAGCTTCTGGTACTAACCAAAAAGAAAGGGTGGTGACCTAAGACAGCCCTGTTTGTACAGGGCTGGTAATGGTTAGAGCTACTCTGGAGCTAACACATGTGCTACTCTCTGGGCATAAGCTATATATCTCAGCTCAGCTGCCATTCACTTAAAGACCACGCTGGGCCCTCAGGTACTCCCAGAACACACTGCAGAACCCCTGACCATCTGTGGGGACGTTCTGAAATATGCTGTGTGTTTTCAGAAAGCCTCAAGGGTATGTGGTTGTGAACTCCCTCCCAAGACAGAACGTTCTTATAGTCGTCTTGGACTAGCCTGCAAGCATTTTAAAACTATTTCAGAAGACTTCCCAAATTTATTTAGTAAAATGGCCTTTTGCTCAGAATGGGCATCAGACATAAAAAACAGCTGAGCTTTTCTCAATTCCCCAAAACCATTAGGAGTTCTAGACCTACCCCCACCACCCTGCCCCCCAGCATCACCTGGTACCAAGATCAGGCTGATCTACTTGGTGCTTCCTTTCTTTGTCTGATTCCCTGGGAGAATGCTGACAGCTGAGTTAATGCGTTTGTTGTTACTCCTCAGAGAATGAGTAATTGAAAATTATAAATTATTCCCACTCATCTTAGGTATTTGTAGTCTCTAAACTTCTGTTAGGGCCAACAGCACCTCAAAAGAGGCAAATAGGTTTCACTCCCTTTCACATCCAGCCTACCTGCTAAGGGGAAGTATTTTTTAACTTTTGAATAGTCCAGAAAAGAGAAAGTATAGATGCAATAAGGGAGAATTCCTCTATGGGGTGGCCAACCCCCAGATGGTAGAGGTGACTTGTGTGAGATCAGTTCCTTTTTATGGGTACCTACTTCAGGCTACAATTTAAGACATGTTGGAGATGGCTGGGCTTTTGAACATGACTTTTTCTGTTTGGGTCAGCTCTACTAGGATACTAGTCATGCCCACTATATTCTGCTAGTGACACAGGCCAGTTAGCATTTATTGAGAACTCTGTGCACTTGGCAGTTGATCACTGTGGATAGTTTCTACTCTTAGGGCAGTTAGGCAGAAGGCCATTCTAGAGCAGGAGTTGTGGGGCCAGCCTGCCTGGGTTTGCACCCTGGCTCCTCGACTTAGCAGCTGTGTGCCCTTGGGTAAGCCACTTATTTTTTTGCCCCGGTTGGCCTCATCTATAAAATGAAAATAACAAGAGGTCCTACTTCATAGTTTTTGTGAGGTTTCAGTGAGTTAATACATGCAAAGCTTTCAGGACCCTGCCTAGCACACGGTAAGCATTCAGTAAATGTGGGATGTTGTCATTCCCTTGGGAAGATGTTCATTCATCAGACGTTTAGAGTACCTACCATATGATTGGCACTGGGGGCTTCAAAGATGAGTATCTAACCTCGGAGCATGGAATAAATGCTAAGCATATAATTGTAAAAATTGATTGAATATGTTGAATTAAAGAGCTCACAGTCTACTGGGGGAGTAAGTAGGTAAACTCAAAATTTTAATCCAATGTGATAAGCAGTCATGGGGGTATAAAAAAGTTTTGTGGGGGTAGAAAGAGGGAGTAATAATCTCTGCCAGGCTTCTCCACCAGGAAGTTTCCTTAGGAAGCCTGGGAGTAGTTCGTGAGATAGCAGAGGGGTCCCCCATGAACCTTGACTTTATTACATGGAGGATATGTTTATAGATAAGCCATGTGGTCCTTAATGAACCATTCACCACAGTTCCATTTCTATCTAAACTTTTCTGAACCAGTTTTATCTTTTTAGCCTGTTCTGCCTCAGGGGATAATGAGTCCCTAAGTGCCACTCACACACTCACTGTATTATAGCCTTAGCTGTCTGAAAATTATTTAAGCTTTGAGAACTTTGTCTTAGTTCTCATGTTCTGGGATGTATCTGATCCACAAGTACTGTACTTTTCAAATCTATACCTGTTGGAGGGGAGGAAGTGTGGATTAAACAAATAACCCGAGTTGGTTACTGAGGAAATGTTTCCTTGGAGGAGCTGTATTTGAGGGAAGCCTGTGCATTGGGAGTTTGTTCACAGTGTACCTGTTATCTCCCACCTCCCTCCCCCAGTTACCCCTATATACTTAAGACAGTCTCCTCACTTACTCCTCTGCCCCTTTTTTTCTGCCCTGTGTGTTTGTACAGGGGGAGCAGTACCATCAGGCTTGGAGGAGAACCTGTGTAAGATCTGCATGGACTCACCCATTGACTGTGTTCTGCTGGAGTGTGGCCACATGGTAACCTGTACCAAGTGTGGCAAGCGCATGAATGAATGTCCCATCTGCCGGCAGTATGTAATCCGAGCTGTGCATGTCTTCCGGTCCTGAGAGCTTGCATCGGTTTCTTCAGTGCCTTACAGGGAAATAGCCTGGGGTGTCTGGGCTCAGGGTTGGCCAGCTTGCAGAAGAGCAAGCTAGTAGAAATACTGCAGTGTTCCCAAGACCAGGGCAAGCAAGATGCATGTCACCCCTGAGCATGCCTGTCTTGCCACAGGGGTGTACCTCTTGGCTGACAAAGCCCAAGGCCAGTGGGAACTTGTATAAATCACATGGGTATGTTCTTGGTTCAGTGATCTTGGAGTGATGGTAGTAACTGATGAACAGAGAACTTTCCAGAACTTGGGTCCTGTCTTTCTCCCTGAACCTAGACACAGTTTCACCCCCTCTCCTGTACCCAGCCCATCCCCTCCTCACATGGGAAGTGCTTGCCCATGTGTTTCATCAATCAGAAGTTCTCCTGCCCAGCACATCTGGATTTAAATTTCTGGTCTCTCTGGCTTTCTGTGCTTTAACTCTTTGCTAAAGTCTCTTGCTACACTGCCTAAATCCATTTATTTCTTTGGACCAAAAATGTTAGTTTACCAGACCGATAGTGGTCCTTAGGACAGATTTTAGACCAGTAAACTTATCTTTTGTGAGAAATGAAACACAAATGCTATAGAAAAATTTCAAAGTTATTAAGAGTTGCTTCCTTAAATGCTGGGATTGGAAGCTGTTGGTATCCTGACCCAACTCTGGGAGCCAACAAAACATCAGGCTCCCAAACTGCTGGGAAATTTGTTTCTGTCTGCAAGGGAGAGTGCGTGCATAATCCCTGCTGCTGCTTCTCTTGGGACCTGATTTGCACCATCCTTAGTTTATGTGGAAAGGGGATGCAATGGGTGGAGGCAGTGGCCTTCTGCTTAATATTGACTTGGCTTCTGATCCTTTTCCTAACTCGAAGGAGTCTTAAGCCATTTTCCCCTGAGAATGAAATCCCTCCCTAATCCATGGTAGTTTTAAATTTGGTCTCATTGAAGAAATAGATTTAGGCAAAGAGCCTGTGCTCTTCTCTGGCCAGACTTCTCTTGAAGTTCCTGGAGAGCAAACGTTAAGACAGCACTTAAGAGCTTTCAGGAGGTACTGAATGAGACTGGATTCTGTTGTGAGCCAACAGTTCAAGTCTTTATTTCCCAGGTTGGTGGGGAGTAAGGAGACCCTACTTTCATTTCCTTTTCTAGCCTACTGATTTTTGGGGGCAGGTCAGGGAGAAAGCATTTTTTCTTTTTTTTTTTGAGAGTCTCTGTTGCCCAGGCTGGAGTGCAGTAGTGCAGTCTTGGCTTACTGTAACCTCCATTTCCCAGGTTCAAGCAATTCTCCTGCCTTAGCCTCCGGAGTAGCTGGGATTATAGGCGCCCGCCACCACGCCCAGCTAATTTTTGTATTTTAGTAGAGATGGGGTTTCACCATGTTGACCAGGCTGATCTCCAACTCCTGACCTTGTGATCTGCCCACCTTGGCTTCCCAAAGTGCTGGATTACAAGCGTGAGCCACCACACCCAGGAGGAGAAAGCATTTTCTGGGCTCTTTAGGAAGGACCATACAATGAGTAAGTGATTTTTTTGAGCCCTCACAGTCTTTACACCCCTAGAGGAGCTGGAGGGCTTAAGAGTTTGCTGGAGAAGCATGGCCAGCACAAAACACATTATCGGGAGAGCAGTGTTTTCCCATTACCAATGGATAAACTATGCAAACCCTAAATGCCTTGGCAGACAACTCCCACCCCTTATCCCTCCCATGCAGCTGAAAAATCTGAGACTAGAGCCAATCATGACACTGGATGGCAGAGGGAAACCTCTAAAGGGACTTATTACATTGGTACAGATATATTTATGCTTTCCTTCCATCAACCACTAAACCCCTTTGGAGGAATGAAATAACTGCATAAAGTAGTTGTCAGCTGAACACTGGGCCACTTACCTCAATATTATACAAAGTCCTCGATGATTTGATTCTGAACCACAGCCTTTGCAGGAGTTGGGGGAATCAGATTTGCTCATGAAGACATCCCTTTCCGCTTTTCTCATGGGCAGTAAATACTATCGTTTACAATGCCTACCAATTTAGCAAAGGATCATACATTCAGCTGCTCAGTTCCTCTGTAAAACAGATCTATGTATGTGCAATTCAGTTAAGATCTTGCAGTAACTTAAGGGCAGAAGCTGGCCCTCTACTTACAACCTGCTTTCTCTGCTGAAGCCTTACCTCCTCCTCCAACCTGAAAATAATATACTGATAGCTGGTTAGTAACCTCAGTAAGAATTAAAACTGAGGTCGTTTACTCATTTTGCCTTTTAAGTCTTTTATCCCCTTTTGGTGAAAGTTTCCCTTTAGGAAAAAAGGTGTCAAACAACCCTGATTTTTTTTTTTTTTGCATCATTTTTATTACACCAAATAAAAGTTGGGAGTTCCAGGATCCCATTCCAGTTCATATTTAACCAAGATCTAAAATTTAATTTTTTTAAATCTTTGAATCTTCCCTCCTGCCCCTCATGGATCCTTGGTTTTAATTATCATGGAAACATCTAATTCTTACAATTATTCCGTAGCTTTTGCTGATTGCTCTGAAATTTCAGTTAAGACTTGTTTGAAAAGACAGATAGCTGACTGGTTCATAATACATTGGAATAGTTGGATCCAAACTAATAAGAGTAAGCTGTACAGGAACTAGTGCTCAATATACATTGTATAAATTTGTGGAAATTTCTTGGATGTGAATTGTTACTTCAAGTAGCTTATATTAAGATTTTCTCAGACTTACTTGGAGGTTAAAGCAAACCCAAATGTGTATTATTTTGTTACAGAGCTCTGCTTTATAATTTTGTAATAAAGTTTTAATACAGACACCTGTCTTGTCTGGTGTGAGGATGTTAGAGGTTGATAGCACTGACAAAAGAGCCTGACAGTGATTCACACTATAATTTCAACACTTGAGGAAGCCAAGGTGGGAAGACTGCTTGAGCTTAGGAGTTTGAGACCAGTCTGGGCAATGTAGTCAGACCTCGTGTCTACTTAAAAAAACAAAAAAGCCAAAAAAACAAAAAATTAGCCATGCATGGTGGTGCATGTGGGTAGTCCCAACTACTTGGAAGGCTGAGGTGGGAGGATCACTTGAGCCAGGAGATTGAAGCCGCAGTGAGCTCTGATCGCCACCACACTCCAGCTGGGGCAACAGAGTGAGACCCTGTATTAAACAAACAAACAAAAAATTGACAAAATAACTGATAAACCACAAGCTAATCCTGGGATGTGCACATGGCCTGGGATTAGCCTGTGGTTGGGTGAAGTGACAAGATGCTCAGTGTTGTTGTAACTTGCCCAGGACCACAAATGTAATATGTGGAAGAGGCCATGGAATTGCCTAGAAGAGAATGAGAGCTGGGTAGGAAAAGGATGAATCCCAAGACCAATTGGGTTGAAGCACCAAGTTCAGGTATTTACACTGATCTAGAAGAGATGGGCCTTAAAGATCTGAAATGGAAAGGAATCAGGACAGCTAGTGTGCCCTGTTAGGTCTTCAGGTTACCCTGGGAGATACACGGTACCTTTTGGATACAGCTGTAGTACAGTTGGACTATGGCTCAGAAAAGGTTGGCTCAGGCTGGGTGCCATGGCTCATGCTTGTAATCCCAACACTTTGAGTGGCTGGGGTGGGTGGATGACTTGAGGCCAGGAGTTTGAGACCAGTCTGGATAACATGGCGAAACGCGGTCTCTACTAAAAATACAAAAACTTAGCTGGGAGTGATGGTGTGTGCCTGTTAAGTCTCAGCCACTCGGGAGGCTGAGGCATGAGAATTGCTTGTGAACCCGGGAAGCAGAGGTTGCAGTGAGCTGAGATTGCACCACTGCACTCTAGCCTGAATGACAGAGCAAGAGTCTGTTTTAAAAAAAAAAAAAGGTTGGCCCAGCCTCATGACAGACTGCTGTGTTGTGCACAGGCTTGTACAAACCTCCCTGACCAGGCGCCCAAGGCGCAGGGAAAAGACTCCCAAGAATGCAGCCCCTGGGAGAACAAGATTATGTGTCCATCTGCTCTGTGACTGAGAAAGGAATCTTGCCAAAAGGGCAAAGAGGATCAAGGATGAGCCCCAACACTTTGCTCACATTGCCCTAGGGAGCTGACCTGTTCAGTGCCCAGTGATGACCTCTGCTTGATGCCAGCCAGCAGCATGTAAAGGTTCAGAAGAGGGAGGCCTCCAGCATTTTGCTGGAGAGATTTATGATGATGATGAGGGTTGCATTGAAATATATGAAAGAAATACATGAAAGGATACAAAATAGTATATACAGTCAGATCTCAGCTGCAAAGACTGGAAGAAAATACATAAAAAACCACTGACATTGAAATGGCAATAACACACACTAAGGCAGAGAAGGGACAAGATGATCACCTGCAGCCAGCAGAGCCCCTTTCCTGTGAGTGTGCACTCTGGGTGTAAGCAACCAGTAAGGGCAAGTGGGGCTGGGTCCAGGTTGGAGAGGACAGTGCCTTTGGCAGGATCCTGAGGAGACAGTCTTGTTCTGCTGCCCTGTCCAGTTGTTTGGCCTGAGGCCGAAGAAATGGAAATCTATGTAGGTCAGTACTCAAAATTTGAGGAGCTTTTTGTCTCCATAGAGGATGGAATAAAAAGAGTACCTTATTCCTAACACTGAAGCCACGCTGAACGGTGCCTATTCAAAAACACCAAATGTCCTGGGCTAGAGTCAGGAAAGTAACCCCCTCCCCTGTGCCGTCCCTACTCCAACATACACATTTTAAACAGTAGGTGGAAGCCAAAGTCAATCAGATCAAATCTGAGCCGGGCGGGGGCGGTGGTGCAGTACTCCTTGATCTTACAAGCCCAGAGCCTGCTAATTTGTTCATAAGGAGAGAACTGACCCTCAAAAGCCGGGACTGGGACATGGAAGCCAATTTACAACCGTATGGTGTCCTGATGAGCCTGCAGAGTGGAGTGTTAGCTGAAACATGCAAACCTGCAACTGAGGGTTCTAAAATCATAGGCTAGGCCCTTCTCCCAGGTAGGGTCTGGACATGCAAACCAGCAGTGACGTTCCCAATTCTAGATAACTATGTGGTAGGCTGTAGGCTAAGTGCTTTACATAATGTTGCTCAGGACAATAGGACAACCCTATGATTTAGGTGCAGTGGCTATCTCCATTCTACTTGGAGGGATTGAGGCTTAGATGTTACATAACTTGCCTAAGGTTAGAGCTATTAAGTTTCAAGACTCTGATTTGAACTCCATCTATACCTGCACTGTCCAGTGTGGTAGTCACTAGTGACAGGTGACCATTTGAAGTTGAATTAAACTAAGAACTTCAGTTCTTCAGTTGTGCTAGCTTCATTTCAATTGCTCAGCAGCTATCTGTGGCTAGTTTGGTTGGACAGTGCAGATTTATGGATATTGCCACTGCTGCAAAAAGTTCCATTGAATAGCACTTGTTTACACTAAATTGTCTTCCTTTTGTTCTTCAAATAGATCAGCCTCAGGTAGCACAGGAGCTGTTCTTTGTAAGCAGGTTGTATGGATCTATTCTCAGGTGTGGATTTTTATTCTTTTTTTTTTTCTTGAAGATATGGAGTATATTTTCTTTAAGAAATTAAAAACTAAGAAAAAAATGCCACTCAATATTGTTGGTATTATCAATAGGTCAGCAGGGGAAAAAAAAATACTGTGATCAACTTGTCTCTCTGATACCAAGAAGAAATTCTAGTCCAAGCTTCAATATGCTTCCTGTGTTTTTCGCTAGGTATTTCTTTTACTGCCGCTCTTCATTCTTTCCCACATTTCATATTGGAGGATTGGTACAGCCTGTAAAACTTCATTGACAGGAACAAATCCAGTATGCACTGATGTCTTCTCAAAGGCACTCTAACCCATCAGATAGCCCAGCAGTTTCATTCACATGAATACTCCAGCCATGAGAAAACTCAGTAGGACACAGACGAATCCAATGAATAGAAGAAAAAAATCGATTGAGTTTTGGGATATTTGGTGCATTCGATTGGTCCAGGATTATGAAACCTAAACCTCCCATTGTGAACAGGAAGCTGGATGCAAGTCCTTCCATAATATACTGTCCATTTACTCTGTAGGCCAAGAAAGCTACTGGCCTTTGATGCCCACGTTCATCAGCCAATACTTGGGGGGTCAACAATATCACAGAATTGTTCCTCCAGTCATGAGGAAGACACCACCACCAGAGCATACGCAGTCATGGCTGCTGGCAGGTGCAGCCAGGGTGACTTAGTCAGCTTCAGGTTGGGACACTCAAGCACTAAGAACGGGACACGGTACAAAGTCTCCACGTTGGTGGCAACAAGGGCTGTTCTTGGCCTCAAGCCCCACGTGGATTTTTATTCTTAAAGAACAGTCTTGTTTCCAGGTTTTGGAGAGGCAGATCTTCCTGGAGCCCTCTATCCCTCCAGAGGAGTGACCCAAGTAACTTCCCCTTTCTTCATAAAGGCCCCATTGTCCTACCTAACCCTAGTCCCCTCCCTTCAAACTGGGAATCCTCACTCTGTAATAGGAGAACACAGAGAAGAAAGTCAAAAAAGTTCATTTTGTTTTCTTTCACATGAGGCTTTGTTCCTGGCAAAGGGTGTCTGGCCGAACACAAGTTCTGCTAAATGGAAGCATTTCTGAGGGCAGTCCTTTAAATACAACTTTAAAATGAGCCTGGAAGTACAAAGGAACAGGCAAGGATAGGAGAGAAGGCTTTGTGGACAGAGCTGCCATAACCCAGCCTTTACTCCTTAATCTCTAGGGAAATTATTAGGGGTGTAGGTGGGGAAAGGACAAAGACAACTGCAAGATATTTTATTTATAAAAAAGGTAACTAAGCTGCTTTTCAAAGAAAACAAAAAGATGGTAAACCCAGCACCCAGATCTGAAAGATCTATTTAAACCCAGCAAGAGAAACTGACTTCAGTTGTGGCACCCACAGCAACTAATTCCTGGTCCAGAAGAGACCGTGGAGAACTGGTGGGTTTGGGAGAAGCAAGCCCATTCCCCCTATACTATGTCTACCTGCCTCCAGCCTGAGTCCAGTCCAGTAGTATGGTAAAGAAGAGTATGGCCTGAGGGAGAGGGAAGACAGCAAACCTAGCAGGGAGCTACCAGTCTCCGTTTCCGGATACATGCCCAAATCCACTCTGGGGAGACCTGCTGGGCCGCAGGGTTCTTGTCCCTGCTACCCAGCACGTGCGTGGCTGAGGTCATATCAAATTCCTGTACCAGGTCCCCGTCGAATGCCACAAAGTAGCGTCTGAGACGGCTGAAGTCTGGTGTGGAGGGTGGCAAGTAAAGCCGCACTCCAGTGAAGATGTCCAGCAGAACCTGCAAATGCAGAGAGGTCACGGTGGGGTCAGACCTACACTGGGTACAGATGGGTCTTCACCCAGATAAGCCCAGGACAGAATGAGGGAGCCTAGAGTTAGGACACAAGCAGAGGAGTTTACTGGAATACTATGTATCAATAACCCCACCCCTCCAGTCACTCCAAATTATACAAGACTGACATGCCCCTCCATCCCTGCCTAGGGGAAAAGGAGAGGGGATGGGCCTTGACATCTGGGACCTGGAGATGGGAAGAGCATATGTGTGTAAGAGCCACCCAGTCATGGTGGGCAGGCAGAGCTGGCTCTGACTCAGTGCCCCCAGATTCAGTGACGTCCCCTGAGACCAAGCAGTCTACTCTGTACAACCTGCTAGACTGAAGGGTCAGGAGTCCTGCTTACTACTCTCAATGGGTTCAAGGACTTCAGGCTGGGAAGAGAGAGGGGAAAGGTTTCTACAGGTCTGTTGGGGACCGAGTTCAGGACCTGAGTTGTAAGACTTCTATGCTTACTCCTGGATGGCGGTGGGGAGAGTGGGGGTGCAATGACATGGGTGTAAATTATGTTTACTTCTCTATCTGCCCTTTGAGCCATCAGCTCCCCCAGAGTTGAGCCAGTACTAAACCTAGTTCTTGGCATCAGAAAGTGCTCAAAAGAGGCCAGGTGCGGTGGCTTATGCCTGTAATCCCAGCACTCTGGGAGGCCGAGGCAGACGGATCACTTGAGGTCAGGACTTCGAGACCAGCCTGACCAACATGGTGAAACCCCGTCTCTACTAAAAATACAAAAATTAGCTGGGCATGGTGGCACATGCCTATACTCCCAGCTACTCAGGAGGCTGAAGCAGGCGAATCGCTTGAACCTGGGAGGCGGAGGTTGCAGTGAGCTGAGATTGCACCACTTCACTCCAGCCTGTCAGACAGAGCCAGACTTGAGGGGGAAAAAAAAAAAAAAAAAGTGCTCAGGAGATGTTGCCAAACCCAAGACTGACAAGTTAAGTGTAAAAGGGAAAAGGTTCCTCGGGTGGGAGGAGAGTCACCAAGCCAGTGCCCTCTCCCCTTCTTATTGCTCCCTGGACCTGCTTCCAGCCTGACCACAAACTCACAATGCTGCATTCCCACACCCAGACTGGGCTTTCCCATTTAATGTAAATTTTGACTTGGGGCCAGCAGCTGAGTGAGTCCCTGCAGTCTCTCCTGGCTAGGCCGGGCTGTTCTATCTCCTGCCTGCTGGCACAGTTCTCCTTCCTCTCTGCTCACTGGCTCGCCGCCTCTGCAAGGCAACAAGAGGACACAGGGTGAGCAGCAGCACTGCTGACCCTGCCCATGACAGGAGCGGCGGCAGGCAGGGAAGAGGTTTAGCCAATGTTCCCCAAACACCTTTGCTCATCCTCTTTCAAACTTCTTGTGCAGAGGGTTAGGAACACAACCTGGGCTAAACTGGCCCACGTGGTGTGTTGCTGTTTTTACCCTCACCTTTGTTTGGCACAGGGTCTCATCAGCAGCTTTCCGCTTCTCCCCTACTTTCACTGGAGAAGACTTCATGGCCAGCTTCTCTCCCACCTTCACAGCAGAAGGCTTTACAGTCAGCATGTTGCCTGAAGGACAGAGAGGAAGTTGGGCGTGGTGGTGCACACCTACAGTCCCAGCTACTCGGGAGGATCAATTGAACCCAGGAGTTCGAGGCTGCAGTGAGCTATGGTCGTGCCACTGCACTCCAGCCTGGATGACAGGGTAAGACCCTGTCTCTAAAAAACCTTAAGATACAAAAGAACTAAGAGGGTAGGGATTGCTGATAATGCTCCCTGCAGTCAGGGGCAGTAAGGGGAAGGACCAGGGCCTTTCTCTGCTATGCGCACAGGTGAGAGGGGAGTGAAGAGTTATCAGCTAAGCCCTTTAGCTCAAAGGTAGCTTATTCCCTGGTCAGACTGGCTGTCGCCAGGGTACTGCTCCATTCAGGTTTGCTGAGCAGATACAGGGTGCCCAGCAGAAGGGTCTCTGGCCCATGGCTGGACACACACCAGGAATGCAGTCCACGTCCACTGCAGTGGACATAGATAATCATGAGATCTCAGGGCTGGAATGTGAGACTGTGTCCCTGCCCTCGAATCTCCGCCCCTCACACCGCCCTCTTCACCATCCCAGCCCCTCCCTATCCTTACCGCCTTTGCTGTTGGAGTTACTCAGCTTCCCTTCTGCTTTCTTGGTACTGGCAGAGGGCTTGCTGGGGGCCTTGCGGGACACAGCAGACCCTGAGGGACCCTTATTCTCTTCACTGCTACCCCCTGTAGTGGAGCTCCCCTCATCTCCAGCCACTACAGTGAAGTCTGCCTTCTCCTTGGACAACTGGTACAGTTCCTGAGGCGGGGAGGGACAATGTCAGAGGGTTTCATTGCCTTCCCAGACTGGCCTCAGAGGTGATGTGTGTGGTGTGTTTTAGGCGCATGTGAGAACAAAGATGTGAGAAAGATAAAGAGCAAGGAAAAGGAGTTGGCTTCCTTGGTACCATTCCAAAGTGTGGCCCTATAGCCTGAGTAATCAGGGTACAAATCATTGTTCTCAGTACAGCAAAGCAGGGACTGAAGGCTGGGGCAACAGGAGCAAACTGTTATTCCCCAGACCAAGGGCTGCTCAGTGGGGCCTCGCAAATGCAAGGTTCTCTGCTCAGAGATGGAGGGAGAAGGAGGTCTAGTGCTGTGCCCCTGGCCCAGCAGCAGTTTGTTTCCCTCTCTAATTGCCCTCCTTGCTCTGTCACAGGAGAATGGGGGAAAAGAGAAGACAGAGGACATGTGTATGGTCCAGATGCCCAAGGCTCCAAGGCCTGGACAGTGGGGTGGAGAATACACATACAGCCTAAGAGCTGCTACCTTGAGTTGGGGAAGGTTAGTGGCAGATTTCCAGTCCTTATCATCTCGGATTCGGGTGCAGCGAGGGAATCGGATGGAGATCCCATCAGCTGTGTGAGCCTCCGATTTGGAGAATTCAGCCCCTGTGATCTCCCACACGGCAGCTTTCTGTCAGGAGTAAGTCAGCAGGTCATCACTGGTTAAGAAGATATTATCAGTGGCCGGGTGTGGTGGCTCACGCCTGTAATCCCAGCACTTTGGGAGGCCGAGGCGGGTGGATCACCTGAGGTCAGAAGTTTGAGACCAGCCTGGCCAACATGGTAAAACCCTATCTCTACTAAAAATGCAAAAATTAGCTGGGTGTGGTGGCGCGCCCCTGTAATCCCAGCTACTTGGGAGACTGAGGTGGGAGAACTGCTTGAACCTGGGAGGCGGAGGCTGCAGTGAGCAGAGATCTTGCCACTGCACTCCAGCCTGGACAACAGAGTGAGACCCTGTCTCAAAAAAACAAAACAAAACAAAAAACAAAAGAAAAGAAAACAAAAAGATCTCCCAACCAGCTAGAAGCAATACAGAACAGTTAAAACCACAAAGGTGGCCACGTGCAGTGGCTCACGCCTGTAATCCCAGCACTTTGGGAGGCTGAGGCAGGCAGGTCACCTGAGGTCGAGAGTTCAAGACCAGCCTGACCAACATGGAGAAACCACGTCTCCACTAAAAATACAAAATTAGTTGGCCGTGGTGGCACATGCCTGTAATCCCAGCTACTTGGGAGGCTGAAGCAGGAGAATCGCTTGAACCCGGGAGACGGAGGTGGTTGTGAGCCAAGATCGTGCTATTGCATTCCAGCCTGGGCAACAAGAGTGAAACTCCGTCTCAAAACAAAACAAAAAACAAAACAAACAAACAAAAAACCAAAGAAGGCTTTGGCTAGCAGCTGGGAAACTTGGGTCCCAGTTCTGCTGCTGCTGCTGCTGAATAACCTTAGGGAAGTCCTGTTTATTCTCTAGGTCTCTTTCTTGGTCAGTACAAGAAGGGATTGGGCCAGATTACTTCTAGAACACACCCTTTGCGCTGAGTGGATAGGTACTCTCTTCTTCTCTCTCTGTTTTTAAAAAGCAATTGTATTGCAGAAAGAATTCTATTCAAAATTCCTCCGAGTTGTCCGGCTGTC